GGCGGTTGGGGGCGGTGTCGCGGCCTCGCTCACGCCGGGCTGTGGAGCGGCCGGGGGGAGGGGTTACTCGCTGCTCCACCAACCCCCAGCCAGCGCGGCTCGCGGAGAGGGGCGGGGCCTTTGCTGCCCCCTGGCGGGGGAGGGGGAGCTGAGCTCATGGGCTGTCCACAACACTGGTGGGTCTTGCACAAGAACCCGTCCACGTGCTTTTGCACAAGAGCATCCATGGCCATGCGGACACGCTCTTGCACAAGCAAGCTCTCATGGCCATGGGGCATTCTTGCACAGGAAACCCCTGGTTCTTGCGCAAGAAGCCCCTGCCACGTCCACACTGCCCTCTGTGCACTAGAGCTTGCACTTGTTAGAGTTGCTCTTGCACCAGAATCCCTCTCTTTACTGTAAGTCTTCTTGCGCAAGAGTGGGCACCCCCTGCAGAAGAACAGCCGTTCCTGCGCAAGAACACACCAGCGAAGACAAAGGCATGTTTTCCAAACAGCACAACGCAACGCACACATTGTGGGACATTCTCTGTGCAGTAGTGAAAAGGCTCCGATGAATGACACCCTGGGCCCGCCAGGGCTTGGTTTCGCCTTGATTTCAGAGGGTGATTCCTGCCCAGGGAAACATTTGCAGAGCTGCTTTTGCAGGAGGGAGGCGGGATGGGGCACCCGGCTAGCTCTAGGGCAGCAGGGGAAGAAGCATAGCCTGCCTGCAGATCCACTCTACAAGATGAATAATGGTGTCTGTGAAACTGACAAGACTACTTAATTGTACCTGACCAAAGCTACCAACCTCACTGCACAGAACAAAATCTATTCTGCATGTGGATGGAAAAAAAGGAGCATGGCCCTTGCTGCCTGCCAGAGCCCCATTGGCCCTGCTATGGGGGAATAAGGGCCTGGGCTCCACTGTTCCAGGGCAAGGGGAGCACAGCTGAAACCTAAGGACTTGAGCTCCAGGCAGGGGGCCTGTAACCTGAGCCCCACTGTACTAAGGATTAAAGTCCTCAGGCTTCAGCCCTTAAACCAGCCCTGGTGAACCCATTACAATGGAGTCGTGATCAACTTCGGGATCCCAATCCCCAGCATGAGAACTGATCTTAAATAAAAGTACCTACCTGAGATGCCTCTGCTGGAGTTTGTTGGTCCGTCTTCCTAGGCCTACCCTTCATGCATACCACTTGGCCCACCTCAGTGCTAAAGACTGAGCAAAACCATGTAAAACTGTGTTAGGGCTCTGCAATGTTTACATTCCCCACACTTCTCTTCACTGCATCTGCCACACTAACATTAGAAATATGCACATTTGCAGTAATTAGTAACTCAAATGCTAATGTCTTTCCATACTTCTCCATTTTTCCAGTCACTAATACTTCATTGGCAGTTGTTTCGCACACTGAAATGTTAGCTCTATTGTCACATGTGAAATTTATAATCTGAATTATAGTATGAAATGGGAGTTTAAATTAGCTGTAATCACTCAAGGAGGATCTTGGAGTTATTGTGAATAGTTCTCTGAAAACAGCCACTCTGGCAGTCAAAAAAGCAACCACCACTGTGAATCATTAAGAAAGGGATAGAGGAGACAGAAAACACATTGCCTTTATACAAATCCATGGTACACCCATGAATGCAGATGTGGTAGCTCCATCTCAAAAAAGAGATTGGAAAAGGTTCAGAAAAACAAATTAGGAATATGAACATGGCTTGTGTATGAGGACAGAGTAATACTACTACTTATCTTGTAAAAGAGCTGGCTATGGGGGGATATGATTGAGGTCTATAAAATCATGACTGGTGTGGAGAAAGAAATAGCACTTCCTTAACACAAGAACTAAGGAGCACCCAATGAAATTAAGAGGCAACAGGTTTAAAACAAAAAAAATATTTCTTCATTACAAAATGCAGTCAACCTGTAGAATGCCTTGTCAAAGTCCTGGCCTTCACAACATGCTCTAATAGATAGTCATGGAGGAGAGGTCTATCAATGGTGTCCTTACCCTCTGTTTGCCAGAAGCTGTGAATGAGCAGCAGGGAATAGATCACTTGAGTACCTGTCCTGTTCAGTCACAGGCAGCTGGCAGTGGACACTATCAGAAGACAAAAGCAGCGAGGAGTCCTGTGGCACCTTATAGACTAACCGAAGCGGGTCTTTGCCCACGAAAGCTGATGCTCCAACACTTTGGTTAGTCTATAAGGTGCCACAGGACTCCTCGCCGCTTTTGCAGATTCAGACTAACACGGCTACCTCTCTGATATCAGAAGACAGGACATTGGGCTAGATGGACCTCAAGTCAGATCTAGTACAGCCATTCTTATAAGGAGAGTACCTTGATTTTTGTAATTATAATGTTCACTTCAACTCAAATTTGAGTTCCCTGGTGTTTAAAACAGGAATTGTGTGTACACACAGAATAAGCTATTGTGGAACTATAGATAAAAGTTCTGGCCCTTTTGGAAAGTAGTCCAGTACATAAAGCATCTGCTTCCACCTATACCCAAGTGACCTTTTTCCCATTTAAAAAGAATCCACAATTTAAGTTTCCCAAAACCAGTTTGTTTAAACAATCAAAAGCCACCTCAAACACACAGTATTTGCAGTTTAATTTCTTTTCTTTTTTAAAGTGTGGTTAAAAAACATCACAATTAAAAAGCATTTGTAATATATTTAGGAAGTACTGAAACAGTTAAGGTATTATTTATTGTATTGTCTCTTTCATATTTAATTATACAAGTGTTCATAAAATATTTTCTCTACCTCATCCTTCGTGGCACTAAAAAATACCTACAAAAAAGATTTATTTGCTCCCACCATTTATAAAATACTTTGACACAGTACTACTAGAGGGAATGAGGAAAAAAGGCAGTGAGCACAGTGTTTTGAATCAAGGGCTCCAGTTCATTTTAATGGGAGACACATGCACAAAGAATAATAGCTGGGTTTTGAGGTTCCAATCCAGCAAAACACAGTGTATATGCTGTGCTGGATCAGGTTTCAGAGACCCAGTTGCTGCCATTGTACTGTCGATACAAGGTAAAGAAGACTAATACTGCACCACTGCATAACAATTCTCCCACAATAAAAACATTAAGGGTAAAGCTTGCATATTTTAAAGACACTACTTTTTTTTAAATATTAAAGTAAACAATCTTTAAAAATAGTGATTTCTATATGTAAACAACTCTAGAACTCTTGGGGTAGCATTCCTTTAGTGGTTCTTTCATGATCCATCATCTGAAATTTCAGAAATCCTGTCTATTGATTTAAGGAGTTCAGCAACAACCTGCAATGATTCTGCTCCAGAGACCAACTGCCTAGAATTTAAAAAACAAACAATACTAAACAGGGTAGATTACAAGTAGGATTGCTGATTAATCCCATTTAACTCATATAATTAACCCCAAAATGGATAATGATTAATTACACTATTAATCTATACAATACCAATTGAAATTTATTATTTTTGATGTTTTTCTATATTTTCAAATATGCTGATTTCTATTACAACACAGAATACAAACTACACAGTGCTCACTGTATTTATTACAAATGTTTGCACTTGAAAAATAGTATTGTTCAATTCATCTCATACAAGGATTGTAGTGCACTCTATTTTGAAAGCATAACTTAAAAATGTAGATGTTATTTTAGGACCTGCAAGTCCATTCAGTTCTACTTCTTGTTCACCAACTGCCATGAGAAACAAGCATGTTTACATTTAAGAGATAATCCTGCTTACTTCTTATGTATGTTACCTGAAAATGAGAACAGGTATTCACATGGCACTTTTGTAGCCAGCATTGCAAGGTATTTACATGTCAGATATGCTGAACATTCATATGCCTATTCATGCTTTGGCCATCATTTCAGAAAAACATGCTTCCATGCTGATGAGCTCATTCAAAAAATGTGTTAATGAAATTTGTGACTGAAATCCTTGGGGGAGAATTGTATGTCTCCTGTTGTTTTACCCACTTTCTGCCATATATTTCTTGTTACAGAAGCTCAGATGATGACCCAGTACATGTTCATTTTAAGAACACTTTCACAGCTGATACGACAAAATTAGAAAAAGGTGCTAATGTATGATTTCTAAAAATAGCTGTAACACGTGACCTGAGATTTAAAATGTGAAGTGTCTTCCAAAATCCGAGAGGGATGAGGTGTAGAGCATGCTTTCAGAAGTTTTAAAGGAGCAACATTCTGATGCAGAAACTACAGAACCTTGACCACCAGAAAAGAAAATCAACCTTTTGCTAGTGGTATCAGACTCAGCTGATGAAAATGAATATGCATTTGGTCTGTTCTGCTTTGGATTGTTATATAGCAGAATCCATCATCAGCATGGGATGCATGTCTGCTGAAATAGTGGAAGCAGCATGAAGGGGCACCTGAATCTTTAGTGCATCTGGCATAAACATTTTGTGATGTCAGCTACAACAGTGCCATGTGAACACCTGTCACTTTCAGGTAATGTGGTAAACAAGCAGCATTCAGCATTTTCTCCTGCGAATTGTAACCAAACATGATTATCTAGAATTGGCTGAACAAGAAGTAGGACTGGTGGTCCTGTCAGCTCTAAAGTTATATACATGGTTTTACTTTTTAATGTAGTTTCACTGTACATAATTCTACATTTTTAAGTTCAACTAAGTTAACTTTCATGATAAAGAGATTGCACTTTGATCTTATACTTGTATTAGATTAACGGAAAAATATGATTTATAATGCAAATATTTGTAATAAAAATATAGGCTGCAGTGTATTGTAGTTGAAATAAATATATTTAAAAATGTAGAAGACATCCAAAATATTTAAATAAACGGTATTCTATTATTTTTAGCGGTACAATTAGTCGCATGATTTATTTTTTTAAATTGCATGATAGCCCTAATTACAAGTAACAGGAAATATTGGCAGAAAAAGGGTGCATATGCAAAGAGAGAGAACAACAAAAAGGGCATTTGTAGCGTATTTATATTAAAGAACACTTATGCAACTTCAGCTGCTAAGAAAAACACTGCTCTGGAATTACAAAATTCACCTGAGATTCAAGTAGTTCAGGATTTACATTTTTTAAAACACTAGTTGTACAAAAGCATAATACTACACAGAAAACGGAATTCATTTTGAATGGTAACATGCAATTGTTTCCTTGCAATATGTGCAAAGCGCACACAGAGCAACATTGAGCTACTCTAAGGGAACCAAAAAGTGAAACTGTCCAGTCTATTTGTTCTGTCCAGGTTATGTGAAACATTCAAAAATGTAAACAAAAGGTGAAATCATGATCTGATGAATGTCAATGGAAGAGCCTCCCAGCACTGTCCTTATTTAATCTGTGGATTCCTGTCAGAACAAGTTATTTACTTTACAATGCTCATTATAAAGCTGAACTTACTTTATTGAAGAGCGTGAATTTGTAATTACGCTGAGGAGATTCTGTAAGGCAACAGCTGCATTTTGTTTCACTACAGACAAACTAGCAGACTGGCCAGTCTTCAAGACTTCATTCTCTGTCTTGTAATTCTTCATCTGAACCTTAGGAAAAGGTTTAGTTTATTACAAGCAATTTTCCTAGAGAAGATACATATTTATCTATCTAAGATGGCATGAAAAAACAGGAGTACTTGAATGCTAACAACTTAGGGCTCTCTCCATTAGGAACATATGCTATCTTCAAGATCATGATTGCCACTTACAGTGATCAAAATTCTTCATGTGATCTTTGACCCAGGACTAAATCTTGGAAGCCTTTACCAGACTTGAAAGCATTTGTACTAGTCCCAGCAAGTGCTTCTAGCACTGGCAGATTGTTAGTTAGCAGCCCTGAAACCTGTTTCGTCCTGAACATCATTTTTCTTCAGATTCCCTTACTCAGTTACAATTGTGATATTATAGTAGTGGATTTTTCAACTTATTTACAAGCTAATATTTAATATCAGAAAGCTGGACTTCCAGGTGTTGTTTCTTTTAGCAGTGTGATAGCAGGCATTAAATCTGCTCAAATTTAGAGTGTGCACTAAGGATGAGGAAGAAGTTAATCTGAATAATATGATTTTAATGTCATCTACCACAACATACCCTGGCTAAAAGTCAGCGTTTGCACCAATAGAAATAAGAAATCCCAGATTCTCTGGTTTGCAAGATAAAAAGCCTCACAGTTGTCCCATGACTCTCAACTTCAGCATTGTTGAATGGTTGGTTCACAATGACTCAATATACATACAATCAGAATACAAGAACATTTTATAGAAGATTAATCTACAAAAATAAGGCACAGGTAAGGCTACTTTCCCAGTAGCACTGTTATAAATTCTGTTCAGTATCAATATATGTTCACCCGAAGTTCATACAGTAAAAGAACCTTCAAAGGGAAAGGACAGCTTCATACCTGAAGTAATGCATTTTCCTGTTTCAGTTTTACAACATTATTTTCTGCTTTCACAGCCCGTTTCTGGAATACAAGATTATTTATATTGTGGTAAGTGGCCAGAATGCACTATGCATTTTCCTAATACAGAGGAATGTACAAGTCCTACCTCAAAGAGACTAAAACATCATACCAAAGATCTGGAAGGGATACAACATTCCAATCAAGTGATCAAAGCAGCAATACATTTCTTTCTTCTGAATAAGGAAAAAATGTGCTCACTATAAACAAACAGACGACTTAATTACCAGCTTTCTTGCAGACAATGCCTTTACGTAAATAACTGTAAATTAGGCCTAAATTGGGTGTTTCCAGAGGGCTGCAGAGAAACAGCTGAATATGAGTGATTAAGATTCTAAATCAGGGGTGGGGAGCCTTTTTTGGGTCAGGGCCGCTAACCCACAGGAAGGGAAAAAAAAATCAGCCGGGTGGGAGGCAGTGGGGACTGGAGTACCAGCACGGGCTCCCCAATGCTGGGAGTGAGGGGGAGGAGCCCTGGGCCCCAGGGGCCAGATCCAGGCAAGGCAGCGACTGCATCTGGCCCCAGGGCCTTAGGTTCCCCACCCCTGCCCACTATGCAACTGAGATGCTTTAGAATGGAACTCCACTCCTTTTCACAGCAGCCGCCCTTGCTTCAGAAGTGCTATCAGTAACATTCATTGGCTCCTATGAGAAGTGGGAGACAAACTGTCTCACGTTATTCAGGAGACAAGTTACCTAAAGGAAAAAGTTGAGCCCAAGTGACAGAGTTGAAGAGTGTTACCATTACTGACCCATACCCGCCTGCACTGCTTATGCTTCCCCCAGTGTTTGAGGAGGGAGACAAAAACCCATAGGGAAGCCCTGATCATGCTTCTACACTATAAGAACAAAAAGAAGTATTTACTGTCATCAACTGGAGATTCTGTTCTACATGCTGCACCATTGCTTCTAGATCCCGGGCCTCTTTTTGCTCTTTAATCCTGTTCTCTTCTAGTTTTCTTTCAAGCGTCCTTACCCTTGTTAAAGAGAACAAAGTGGGCATTTTATATGCATTCAAAAGGGAAAGATTACAAAATGTTGCAGGCAAGAAGATTCCATTATGGGTCCAATATTTCTAAATCATCTTAGAGCAGTGGTTCTTAACCTTACTGCAGCCTGCACCCCTTTGGTTCTCCAAATATGTTCTCATACCCCTTATTAAAAATTGTTGAAGTAGGTCAGTTCTTTAAACATAATATATATCATAAAAATCTGGCATGTCTCGCACCCCCAGAAGGGCATCTTGCACCCCCAGTGGGTGCGTGCACCCCAGGTTAAGAACCACTGTCTTAAAGGCTTTGGTATGACAAAAATTTTCATTCTAACACTGCAGAAAATCCACCCACAGAATTAGATTATCAGACTAGGCCTTGAGATTTGTTGGACATCCATTAGTGTTAAGGATAATTATGTAGCACAATCTCTGCACATGTCCATTCAGTCTCCCTCTACACTTTTTCTGCCTTTTGGCTAAGATCTCTACACTTGATCTTAGCCAAAAGGCAGAAAAACATGCTTTTCAAGCCATTGTGAGGTGTAGTCAGTGGGGATGCAGTGGGGATGCAACAATCCATTTTTAGGAAAGTGTGAATTGTCTCAGTACGTGAGGAAGCATGGTGCAGCAGAGAGAAGAATTACTGCATTCTAATTATAGTTCTGTCACTGACTCACCTGTGACCTGGGGAAATTTACCTAACCTCCCTACCACCAATTTCCCTACTGGTATATTCTCATTTGCCTCACAGGAGTGAAGTAAAGATTATTATTAATGCATTGCTTGAAAGTCTGAGGTGTATCAATATGCAAACTTGCCCACACTAAAACTGAGTTGAATAGGTTGTAAAAGAGAACAAGATTTGGCTCCAATTATTATTAAAAAAAACCCAACAAGATACCAAATCAGGTTAACGTTTTACCTACTTTCCCTAATTTCTTTCTATAAGGAAATTCACCAGATTTCTTAGAAGCCAGTTTCTTAGCTGGAATAACTCTGTCGCAAGTCGTCTTACAATAGCATAAACTGTCACGATCTTATTTTAGTCACTATCAAGGCATAAGAATATCAGCATTTTGTCTTTATTCATTAAGTTAACGATTTCTTTTCTGCTGTAGTATACATACTTGGCTGCCTGAGTTTCAGAGAGGAAGAGAAGCTGGTTAATCTTGCTTCTTAGTCTGGCATTTTCTTCTTGTAGCTGCAGAAAAAGTCTCATTAGAAATCAGTAATGTATAGACTTGTGATCATATCAATCTTTTTAGCATGCAAATAACCAGCAATAGCTGAAATCTTCCAGTCTCACTTCTAGAGCTGGAAAAAAAATCTTGTCACTTTCCAAGAATTAAATTCACTAACAAATATTTAAGAATATATCCTCTCCAAACCAAAATAATAATCTTTTCCAGCCGAGAAAAAAAGTGAGGCACAGAGAGACTGAGACAGGTGTGTACCTGTATAAAGATTATTGGTATGAATATATGACAAAACAATGAATGAATTGCATAGGTCACCCGGAGTGCCTATAAAAACCTTCATGTTATACCACACATCGTTACTTTTTAACTAATATTATAAAGAAAAAATTAGAAATATTTCAAGGGGTTTCATTTTATAGTCTTCCAGCTATGAAGCCAATTTGCCTTAGTACCATCCAGAGACTTCAGTGACAACAAGGATACATTTTAAAGACCCTTTAGGGCAAGGGTGGGGAACTGAAGGCTCAAGGGCCAGATGCGGGCCCCTGGCTTGCCTGGATCCAGCCCCTGAGGTTCAGGGTTCTCCCCCAACATTGGGAAGCGCACACTGATGCTCCAGCTGTCCTCCTGTAGGGCTGGAGCACACAAAATCTACTAGCCTGGGCCCTCCAAGGCTCTCGCATACGAGGGATACATAGGGAGTGTCTCTCTCCTCACTTGGGGGCCACCTCGGTGATGCGGGCCCCTGGCTTGCCTGGATCCAGCCCCTGAGGTTCAGGGTTCTCCCCCAACATTGGGAAGCGCACACTGATGCTCCAGCTGTCCTCCTGTAGGGCTGGAGCACACAAAATCTACTAGCCTGGGCCCTCCAAGGCTCTCGCATACGAGGGATACATAGGGAGTGTCTCTCTCCTCACTTGGGGGCCACCTCGGTGAAGTGGGGGGGGGGGGGTTCTTGCTTGTATGCAGCCTCCCAACTCATTTTTCTGTAGGTCAGTGGCCCCTAACCCAAAAAAGTTCCCCACCCCTGCTTTAGGATGATCTAAAATAACTTTTCTATAAAATCGTAAAATGCAAATTTAAGGCCCAAACTTCACTACCTACCAGATTATATACTAGAAAGCACAGGTGGATGGATGAATATCTTTTATTGGACCAACTTCTGTTGGTGAGAGATAAGCACAGAGCTCTTCAGGTCTGGAAATGGGGTCAAAGCTAAATACCAAGTGGAAGTAGTAAGTATTTAACTGCAGGGCCAGATTAACACAGGGGCTGGAGGGGCTGAGGCACACAAAATTAAATCTATAATTAATTATGTATATATTGGAACCAGACATTGGGAGCAAGGAGCCAACAGACTTGACTGGTCCTTGGACAAGGTGGTGGGTGCCAGCTGGGTCCTTGCTTCTGGAAGGGGCAGGGCCTTGGGCAGAAGGGTTAGGACTGCAGGCAGACAGCCCTCAGTGCTGCCTGGAAAGCAATGGCGGTGGCCAGTGCCCCAGACCCTTCTGAATCAGCAGGTCCCAGGGCAATTGCCTCCTTTGCCCCCACAATCAGCAGGACCTAAACTGGAGTTAAAGGGGGCAACACCATAGAGATATACTGTCCCCCTTGCCCTGGGGCATGTAGAGACATGCCAGCAACTTCCAGGAGTGGCACACTGCATGCAGGCAGCCTGCCCAAACTCTGCCAGCTAGGAGCCACCTGTGGTAAGAACCTCCTGGCCAAAGCCTACACCTCACACCTTCTTCTGCGCTCTATCCTGCTGCCCCAAGTCAGAATCCCCTCCTGCCCTCTCTAAACCTATACTCCTCACCTTCTCTTGCCCCCAAACACTATGCCCCATCATGGAGCCTCCTCCTGCATCCAAACTCCCTCCCAGTAAGAAACTAATATAACAACTGCTCTAAAGTAAGAGGAGGGTTATTTTGAAATAGCTTAACTATATTCTACATGTTTTAAGATTGAAATGTAATCATAGAAAAGCTTTATGTAAATTAAAGGCAAATTCAATACAGCATTCATAGTCTTGATGCCATAATTGTGATCATTTTCTTCTACATTAGGAAAAAGACTTGTATAGAAGAGCCCCACAAAAATCTAATAGCCTTCAGTCCACAGAAGAGTTCATCTGGCCCTGTTTAGCAAGAATATTCAGGCCTGATCCATAATACTGTGGGACTTTGATCCAAGTCACACAGCTTCAGCTGTATATGAAAAACATAGCTGAAGTTGACACACTTAGATCTTACTGTGGTGTCTTCCCTGCAGAGAATCAATGGCTGATGTTCTCCAGTTGGCCATACTTCTAAACTTCATGTTTAGGTGACATGCTGGAGCAGACACGACTGGGTCAAGTAGTGGTTGATTTATCATGACTATACAAGATAACTGCCCATGGGCTGGGCCAGTAGTGTAGACATGCCCTCACAGTGCTTTCCTCAGACCTGAAGAAGTGCTCTATAAGCTAGTCACTCTGACCCATGACAGTTTGTCCCAGCAGTGAAAGGAACTTACATTTCTTACAGGTACTGTCCTATTACAATTCATAAGAACGTAAGAATGACCATACTGACAAAGACCAAAGGTCCATCCAGCCCAGTATCCTGTCTGCCAACAGTGGCCAACATCAGATGCCCCAGAGGGGAGGGAACACAACACGTAATCCTCCTATCACCCATTTCCAAACAGAGGTTAGGGATACTATTCCTACCCACCCTGGCTAATAGATTCATGGAGGTTAGGTCCATCAATGGCTATCTAGCTCTTTTTCAAACCCGTTCAAGACCCAGTCTCCACAACATCCTCCAGCAAGGAGTTCCACAGGTTGACTGCGTGCTAAGTTAAGAAACACTTCCTTTTGTTTGTCCCCAGGTCCCAGTCAGCTCTATAAGCAGCCCCCTGCTGATTTTTGGCCCAGCTGCACCAGGGTACACCCGCTTCCTTTCACCCTTCCTTTTGTTTGTCCCCAGGTCCCAGCCAGCTCTATAAGCAGCTCCCTGCTGATTTTTGCCCCAGCTGCACTTCCTTTCACTTCTGGCTGGTGCAACAAGAGAGACTCCTTCAGCCCCCTTGACTCCGACACCCCAGGCGCTCTGCCCCCGGGAAAGAGCTCCTAGCTCCTCCGAAGCCGGACACTCGTGCGCCAAGGCGGGAGCCTTCCCTGACTCAGCCGC